GAAAAAGTGAATGTTAAGATCTGGGTGTTTTGGACCATTTGCCAACAGTAGACAAAACCACTGCCGCCAGGTAGTCCCCACCCGGGCCACTGTTTGGAGCTAGGGAAGATTGATGACTCTGAGATTGATTGAAAAGTCTGCCTCTGGGTTAGAGCCTGTGTCTGGGTGAGACACTGTGGCCAGTGATTGATTGGCCACTGAGCCATTTTGGCGCTGCAGGGAGCAGAGTTGTTGGGGGGAAAAAAAAAGGGATAGTGGAAGTCTATGATTTCATTAAAACACAGATGTATGGATTGACAGATGGGCAGACTGCAAATAAGAGAGCTGCATGCCTGGTTCATGCCATGTGCTAGTATATCACTGTCAAAACACCTCCTTTATCAGTACATAAAAATCATATCTGCATTGAGCTCATTCATACACTTGTCTTTTTTGCTTTGTCCTCAGCTGGTATCCACTAAACGAACCACATATTCCTAATTGAAGCTGCTGGCTAATGAAGCACTAACTGACCTATTAAGAGTTTATTTGTGTGTAATGATTCTATTAAGTAACTCCTTGATGACACCATCTTGACCAAGCAAACCCACCAATAAGTTCTTCCACACCGGAGTGTCTACTAATGAAGAAATAATTCAGAATGACTATATGATGAAAAGACACTATCGTTCCTAGGTTGCCAAGCATGCAGCAGAAACCATAACAAAGTGAAAAGCCATGCAAATATTCTCTCTTGAGTGTGAATTTGAAAAGCTTGGCTGTTCATTATTCATAGCCACAACAATGTAGAAAATGGCTTTTTTCTACTCTGGACAAGAAGGGATAACTGAAGAACAAAACTGTGAAGCCACTATACAACATAAGTCTATGCAGCAAACTCAAATATACTGCTGTGTTTTTAACTACTATAAAACCCCTTGTGAGCAGCAGTGTTCCCATCTGTTTGCTGCAGTTCCCCCTGAGTGGCAGAACATGTGTGAGCCGCGACACTGCACATGTTCCCCTCAGAAAACAGAACCCCAGTAACCCAACGACAATGGCAACAACATCACAAACCACTGCCTAGACTCCTGTGAAGTTTCAATTACTGCTTAGAATTGCAGGCTTCTGCCAGTCAGATTGACAGGGAAGGGAGTGGTTGGTAGTGGAAAAGCCTGAACAAGTACTGTACTCACACCAGGGTGGTAGAAAGTATATAGGGCCTTGACTACACTTGACACCAAAGTGATTTATAGTAAAACATGGCCAATGTATTAAATGACAAGGTGAGATGCCCCAAACTATTTACTAGAGAAACACGTAAAAATTGTTTGTTTCAATATAGTTATGGCTTAATTTCACGAGCTGGTACAATGGAAAACAAAAACAATGCCCTTTGAGATGGATGAGGGTGATGGCGGAGAGTCTCCTCTGCTGTCAAATTACTAAACTCTATCTCTGCAGTCTTTTTGAGTTATTCAAAATTTTGAATCTCGAGCCTGGCTCAAGTGCGAACGGTTTGTAAACTATACCTGTTGTGATGTAACACCTGGACACAAAATCAGACATGGGTAGGGAGAGTTACTCAGGTAAATCAAAACAGCTGTGCTAAAGCTAAGCTAGTTGCCTCCAGTTACATTTGATCAAACATGACTGTTTGGAAAATTACACACAATCCTACCATTCTGAAACATCCTGTTAAAGTCTCAAGTCTGCAACAGCAGGTTCCTCTCCTTACCATTCACAATTGGACTCCGGTTCAGATACTGTATCTCTATATACAGGCTGTTTGAAAAGATCGATTCAGAGAAATCTAAACTATTTTTGGGTGAATAAAATTTCACAATTTAAAATAAATAAAATATTTATAAAAATGGGCCAAACAGGACCATAATACCAATTCTTTAGAGGTTGGCAAATTGACAAGATGATCACATGTCCCTGCAATACAGATAAAATAGTCAGTGTATATGAAAAGTCAGCGAGTACATAACACGTTAAACTTCAGTAAAAACACATAAAACCAGTGGACATTTGTGGATAGCATGAAAAAGACTAGGGTGGTTTAGGTTTAGTTTTCAGTATAATCTGTGGGTTTTTTTAGTACTTACTATAACAAGAATCTGAACTGGTATACAGTAAGACCAAGAATCTATAAGCAGAATCTAAACTGATCAAAATGTAAGAAACCCAACATTAGCCTAACCCTGTGTCTGGGATTCTCCAAAATGGCTGTCCCTGTAACTACCGTGGCTATGGTTGCAGAGGATATGGCGATTATAGGTGAGCAATGGGGAGGCACAGATGGTTACAACACCTTCTTCATTGTGTGTAAAGTAGAAGATAGAAATGTATGAAGTCCTGCAGTTCAGTGTGACCTGTATGCTAATGAGGAGGACAAGAAAACTTTCAGCCATTAAATTTTGAGCTACAGCTCTCCCCTTCTTTTTTCCCCTCTTACAGGTAAGCAGTGTTTATATTCTTTTCCATAAATCATCTTAGAGTGTAGGATAGTGCCCCTTTTCTTACTGCTCTCATTTCTAAACCGTACTTCAGGTCACCCAAGTTGCCTAGACATACTCTCACTGCAAAGTCCCTTATTTACATTATATTTATTGCATGACATCCCTGTTTCTTTCCCCGTGATTTCTGGTTCTTTCTTCTATTTAAAACCACCCAAAAAACAGTTCCCCTCAAACAGACTGTTGATAGATGCAATGACTACACATAGCGGATGCTCTCTCAACTTCTTCACTTCCTACAATGCTGAGAAAAAAGTAATTTCTCTTTATATCAAAACTGCCAGTGGGCTGAGATAAATCCAGCAGTTTACAAAACACTAACTTGTTGCAACTAAACTAAACTAATAGAGGAAAAACTGACAGTTACTCATTTCAAGGGATTTTCCTAACAATTACTCAGTGTGCAGCACTAAAGCATAACTATGACACTTTTATTTAGCCAGGAAGCATTAAGAACTCAGATAGTATGAATACAAACAATTGTTTAATGTACTGATTAATTGCTCAAAGCATAGAAGACAATACATGACATGTTAACTGGTTTGCTGGGAAAAAGAACTGAACAAATCACCTCTGAAAGCTTTATCAGCCACCAGCTTAAGTGCTTAGTACAGCAAAGCTCAACCACTCCCTGGAGCTCTTTCTCGATCAACTTATTGATTTTGCTCAGCAATCAGAACCAGCTTCTCCTTCCAATTACTGATGCTTATGTGCTTTACAACAGTGTGAATTTAATGTATTGGGTAACCTATACAAAAAAGGTTTTGTACTTGATGAGAGGGGTAGTTTAAAGCACCTCATGTGAAAATGAACAAAAAAGACCTACATGCTTATGTGCACATACTTCCAAATTGAATATCTCAGAAGCTGACTTTTCTATTTTTTATTTTATTTTTTATTTTTAGTTTTGAATAAAAAGAAAGGTCTCACACTAAGACACAGAGGGGAAGATAGAGAGTCGAGATACAAGGGGACACATGCACAGAAAAAAAAAACTCTTAAAATATCTTTTATGTTTCACCAAAGATGAGGTCTCTGTGGGCAGCGGACAATTTTGTGGTTTAACAAATATAGAGTGAAATAACAATGGGTTGGAGGAGATGTCCATATGTAAAAACCATATGTAAAATTTCCCTGCATTCTTCTATAAATGTCCTGCATCCAAGTCAATTTCCAGTTGCAAAGAACAGTGGCTGTGTGGAAGCGTCCAACTTGAAAGTTATATACGCAGTGCAAACAAAACTGCACCACCACTTAAAACCCCTTGGATTCTCCAGCACTGCGAAGGAGGTAAGAAGTACACACTTTTTTGAAACCCTCTGACA